AACCACCCGATTACCGTCCTAGACTTTTCAGGGAAATTTTAGAGCGCACCCAGGATACCTCGGAAAGTATTGTCGATTACCTTTCATGTATGCAGGCTTTGTTTAGGCGTTACGATGGATTGACACCGGAAACACAGTTGGACATTTTATCTCGTAACTTGTCACCTTTCTACACCACCCAACTTCCAGTTGTCACTTCTCTTGAGGAACTTGAGCAAGAATGTCTTAAGTTGGAGACTAAAAAGTATCGGGTTGAGCATTACGTTCCACCTTCTAGGAAGCGTCAACAGTTTGTTGTTTGTTGTTTGTTTTTTATTTTTTTTATTTTTTTTTTTTTTTTATTTTTTTTTTATTCTCAACTTTAATTTTTTTTTTATTTTAATAAACTTTTCTTAATCAGCGAAAAAGCGTGGCAATAGTGGTGTCCGTTAAATAATAAAATTTATCAATTTCTAATTTGATAGATTTCTTTACTTTGTCAACCAACTTTGCAGTCAGCAAAGCAGCACAAAGCTCAAGACGAGGCAAGCTTATAGTTTTGATGGGAGCAACGCGAGACTTTGACATCAAAAGACTAGAAAAAATATTCCTATCCTTTGTAAAGCTTACTATATAAACGCAGCCCCCATATGCCTTTTCGGAGGCATCCGCGAAACCAAATATATAAACTTTAACAAAATCTTCACATAAAACAAATCTAGGAACCTTTAGCTCATTTAAAATCTGAAGATCCTCACCAAAATTTACCCACCTTTCAGTCAAAAATGTTGGTACTTGCTCATCCCAAGATAGGCCTTCTTGCCACAAAGCTTGCAAAATAAGTTTTGCGACAACAATAACCGGACCGAGAAGGCCTAAGGGATCAAATATTTGGCTTGTTATCGATAAAATCATTCTTCACTAGATAAAATTGGTTTTATAGAAAAGTTAATTGTATCAATGTAAGCATTCCATAAAACTCCCAAAGTTTTATTTTGTTCAGATTCACCAATCTGCAAGATACCTGATGATAATTTATTATCTACCTGGAATTTTGATAACAATTCAGGTCTGTTAGAAAGCCATTTTCGTAATTGGAAGCCCCCAGATTCCAAAATAAAAGATATCTCCTTTTGAAGTTGCAATAATTCAGCAATAGAAAAAGTACCTGCCAGAAGATCATCTAAATAAAAACAGTTTAAAATTGTTTCACAAGCCCGTGGATATTCATTTTTGAAATCTAAAGCTGATTGCTTCAAGCATCTAAATGCCAAAAATGGCGACGAAGTGCATCCGTAAGTTACAGTCTGTAACTCATAGCATTCAATGTTATCATCAACTGAATCCGGACTTCTCCACAAAATTCTCTGAAACCGTCGTTCTTCTGGCTCTATCATTATTTGACGATACATCTTAGATATATCGGCATTCATTACAAAAGGATAAATTCTAAATTGTAAAATTATGGACAAAAGATCATTTTGTATAGTTGGGCCTACATATTGAGCGTCATTTAGCGATAAACCCGAATCTGTCTTTGCCGAAGCGTCAAAAACTACCCTCAACTTGGTCGTCAAACTTGATTCCTTAAGTACGGCATGATGCGGTAAATAATAGCATAATTTAGAATCCATGCCACTTAAAGAAAAGTCTTCGACCTTGACCATATGCCCCAATTCACGGTATTCATTTAAAAAATCAACATATTCTCTTTTTAGAGACTCATTTTTTTTTAAACGTTGGATCAAAAAATTTAAACGCTTAGCAGCCATGTCTTTTGACGTGCCTAGCTGGTTTACATTTTCTTTAAAAGGAAATTTGACTACAAAATGACCCTTAGAATCACGAGTATAATTTTGTATGAAATGATTTTCACAAAATTGTTCTGAATCTGAATATGTCTGATTGATAAATGTATTAGGATAGTCTTCCAATTCCCAAAATTTAGTCAATTGCTTGTCAATAGCTTGATTTGAAATATCTGTGGCAAAACAAGACACTATAGTTTCCTTAGAAGACTCCCTTCTACTGAAATTTGTATCAAAGTAACCTCCAAATACCCATCCTAATTTAGTCTTTTGTAAAATAGGCAACCCCGGCTTATTTATCTGATCTGTTAATAAAATTCTATAAAATATGTCTACTCCTAATAACATATCGATAGGACCTGGTATATTAAAAGAATCATCAGCCAAGACTAAATCTTCAGGTAAATTCCATTGCGAAATATTAAATGAGGCTGTTGGTAAAAATTGAGTAATTTTTTGAACTACGAGACAGGAAATAAAATCGCTAAAATTGCTTGTATTTGACATAATTTTTATATTTATTTTAGAGTTAACAGTGGCCGTCAGAGCCTCACCAACACCCATAACATCAAAATTAACATTACGTTTTTCCAATCCCAATTTATTTGCTAGGCACTCAGTTATAAAATTGCTCTGCGACCCGGCATCTAATAACGCACGTATTACATATTCGGAACCGTTATAATCAAGGATTTTTAATTTCACAGTCGATAAAACTGACAAAGTTGTACCCTCATTTCTCGTGTGTCCGACAAGAGTCGTTGCAGTTGGCTTTACCGTACCGGTGTCACAAACTACCTCGTTTCCAGGCCTACTATGAAGTTGAGCATCAGAAACCTTGGGACCTGCCGTTAAATGTAGAAGTGTATTGTGTTTCAGCCCACACTGGCGACAGCTTGAGCTACTAGTACAGTTTTCTACGTTTTGATGAGAAGGGTTGAAACAATTTCTACACAATTTAAGTCTATTTGTTGCTAATATTCTGGAATTTACATCTAATTTCTTAAAAGCGAAACATTTGTAAATGGAATGATTTTTTTTACAATAGTAACAAACAAACTTATGGCTTTGAGCAGTAGAATGATGACAACGAATTTTATTTTCAGGACGGTACTGTACAACTTTTGAATCTTTTTTTACAGATTCCAATTTCTCTAACAATTCACATTTCGACTTTAAAAATGCATTTACATCGGCAAATTGCGGCATCTCTTTGGAAATTGGATATGATTCCCATTCTCTCCGCGTAACTGAATCAAATTTACTGGTGATCAAATAAACTATTAAAGTATCCCAGTTGTCAGTATTTTGTCCCAAACTTTTAAGAGAGCGCAAATTTTTGTTAAACAAGTCATACAATTTTCTCAAATCACTATGCGATCCTTTAATAAAATAGGGTATTCAAAAATAGCCTTTATGTAATTAAAAATAATCAGACGTTTGTTTTCATATCTGTCTACTAAAAGAGCCCAGGCAACTGAATAATTATCATTGGTAACTGATAAATTGGCTATAGCCTGGAGAGGTTCTGCTTCTAAATAAGATTTCAAATAATAAAATCGTTGTACATCGCTTAAATTATGATTATTATGAATCATCGCAAGAAATGAATCTCTAAACTCAAGACATTTCTCATAAGCTCCATTAAACATAGGAAGTTTTAATTCAGGCAGCTTTACAAATAATGGAGTGTGAGGTAATGCTTGAGCTTGATTATTAATCGTCTGCACTGTCGTCGGTACAGTGGCAGATACATTATTACGTTTAACCGATGATGTAGCCACGATACTTGAGCATTTGCTGGAAGTCTTTATACCTTTACCCGAACCACTGGAACATTACAAGACTCAAATTTATTGACTATCAGTTTAATTTTACTAATTATTGAGTAAAATTCTTGTTCAAAATCAAGTCTTTCTTGAGACTGTTGTTCCAAAATTTGTTCAAGAGTTACATTACCTTCTTGTTCAGCGGTACTCAACTCTACCTCAATATCATTTTGAATATCCTCAAACTGGGACAAAAGCGGTTCTGCCCTGTCAAGGCGACTTTGAAGTTCAAGAACCTGCAATTCGGCGACATTGTTAATGTCAAGGGTGTCAAAATAGTTTTTGAGTCTCGTTAATTGACTTTTAATAGAACCTCTTTTTAATTTAAGTTTATTTAAGTTAACCATATTGGACAACTATAGCACTAAACAAACCTATTAGAAATAAACAGGAAATCGAAGCAAATAGACTGACCAAATCACATATAATAGGCAACGGACTTACTTGACTTCTTCTCCATCCAATTAATCAATCATTGAAAATTGCTGAATTCCAGACTGGGAATAGCAATAAAAGACTTCAAAATATTTTCGGTGTGAGGCTTGCAAAAATGGTTGCGTCTGCCAGTACCAAATTTGCCTCAATACCCAATAAATATTGCACTTTCTTCGAAATATTTGGCTCGTCTGGATAAAAATGTATGTTCAATAAGTGGACTGTATAAAATGTGCAATAAATTTACTTTCAAAGAGCTCCAACTCAGAGCAAAATAGATATAAAATATAAAAATTGAAGTCTTTCTTGACAAAACTTAATGACATTAATCAAAATCATTAAAAACTAAAAAAGGTGGCATTGTCAGTGGCGTTACCACTATGTATTGGCCTAAACTGGCCTAAACAACCACAAAAACGACTTTTTAAAAAACAAACTTTATTTTCTAAAAAAAAACTTTTGTTTTCCGAACCGAACATACACGTATGGTTATACAGATGAAACTGGCTTGAAGAGAACAACCAGATTATTTTATAAAGTAATTAAGCAAATTCAGCAGATTAATATAATAAGCTAAGCAATTCTGGGCACGTAACTCCTCCCCTTTTAATTGGGCATATAAACTTTTAAGTTTTTAGGACCCAAAATATTTGAAGTTCAAATAATGATTTCATTATTGTTTGAATCCAATTTCTTTTTGACATAGAACAAAGGGAACAGATACTTGTACAAGAAAAATAATAAAATCAATAAAATTATAATATAAAGTAAAATAGTCCATATACTGGGCGTATAATAATAAACTGGATCTTTTAGCATTTCCAAATTTGATTTTCTTTGATTTTGTATTTCATTTTGCAAAGAATCCAATTTATTAAAATTAACCTTATTTAAAGTCACTAACTTAAGGTCCTTATGTTCTATTTTGTGTGAAACATTGACCTTAATATTAGGTAAAGGAAAAAACATAAAATTTGTGATTAATATTTTTATAAGACTTGATGGCAGCAATTTTCAAACTACATGGGAAATTGATTTCTACTAAATGAGTTCCATTCAAAAAACACATTTTCTTTTTTACTTCCGCACTGTTGTAATGCTGCTCTTTATCAGTAATCACTATCCACTTTCCTTCATCGATATTTTGCACTTGAACACTTTCGATTTTCACAAGAATTGGATTACAATTTGTGATATTATGCTGATAAGTTAACAATTGCAATTCACATGGTAAATTCTTATACAATATTTCTGTGTGTATGTGTTTACACAAATATTCATTATCGAGTATTTTCTTACAAGGTGTGTTCGAATAACCAAAATTATGTTCATTAATTATGACATATTGGAAATTAGGAATCAACATTTTAAAGTATTTATTGGTTGGTGTTGGTAAAGGAAACAATTGAACAAAATTGTAGTTTTCTTTTTCTACCAGAGGTACTTCGATAATAAATATTATTTCACTATCTTTTGCGTAGCTTTTTATATCCAGAATAGTCTCAAATTTCAAGATATTTTCAGGTATGGTTTCAAAAGGTAACTTTTCTGATAAAAGTTGGTTATTTATTAACAATAACGCATTTAAAAGTTCAAATAATTTCCACAATTCCATCATAAAGGAATTGTGGAAATTATTTAGTTTAGCAAATGATATTGCAACTTCGATTTGTTCTATATATCGTAGATATTTTGATACATCATAGAAATTTGCGTTAGAACCATTTGAATTTTAAAATATTCACGAGCCGTTGCCATTTCGATTTGTAAGCAATTAATTGTTTCAATAACATTGTTAATTCGATCTTTCAAGATTTATTGATTATGAGATATATTTTGTGTGATTTCTTGGAAATTGTCAATAGACCTATCTATTTTACCAGACAGAGAGGTAATAATACGAAAACTTCATTAAATAACTAACGTTCATTGCGCAAGACGAGGCAAAATGTACCAAATTATGTTAGACTTACGTATAGAAATCCGTCCTTCTTATTTGCACGGGATAAAAAGGGAGGAAGAAAAACCGCGTGTTGTGCAACGTATTTGTCAATGAAAATGTCAAACAACTTTTGAATGACATTTGCCAAGTTGAATATCAACTTTAGATTTATTCTTGTCAGACCACGTGCAATGAACAAGGACAAAGAGATGTCCAGCGTGCAAAACGATCACCTCACACCTGTATTGACTAGCCAATAAAAAGAAATTGCCTCGTGTTGCGCGCGCATAACAGGTAAAAATAGATAGGTCTATTGTCTTGTGAAGAAGTGTCAATTGTTTGTCTATGGCTGATTATTTTGATTTTTTTTAAGGATATCAATTTCAGCATCATATCTTAGAGCGTCTTGTTGGTCTAAGTTTCCAGTTAAACTTTTAACTCTACTACCTAATCCATCAATTAAACCTCGTTTTTGTCTCTTAAGAGAATTAATTGGTAATAATTGATTTGGTTATTGATTTTCGATTCCAGGTTACTAATAAGTATTTGTGAAAATATTCTGCCTGAAATCCTGTGTTGTTATTTAGGGTTTTTTCGAGTGATTGGTATTGATTTGATAGAATATCAAATTCGTTAATTAAGTTTTCAATGTTAAATATTTGAACGAATGTCCAATGATTAGATACTTTCTGGGCATTACCTAATTTATATCGAAGGATTCCTGGGTTTTGGTTTAGGTCGTTGTATTTAGGAGTGTCGTAGGAGTATCCTGTTGTACAGGTGTATCTGTAACAAGAGGTGGTTTCAGCTCCTTAATATGGATTGTTTCCACTTTTTGTGGATTTTTTACGTGTTGTACTTTCACACGGTTATGTTCTAAGATTTCGATTATTTTCAAAGGTCCATAATATTTTGGTTTACTTTTAGAGGAACGCGATGGTTGTTTTTTATATACAGTTTGGTTTATTTTGAATTGACTTTGTTCGTCACCTATTGTGTTAATTTTTGTTATTACACGTTCTTTTTCTCGTTCTGTGTTTCCTAGGATATTTTCATATAATATGTCTACTTTATTCTGGTGTGATTTCACATAGTCAGAATAGAAAGTTGTGGATATTAAATCCAAAGGATCACGATTATTGGTATGTCCTAGTATGAGTTCGTAAGGAGTAAATTTCGTTACAGAACTTGTAGTACTATTATATGCTATTATTGCGTATGGCATCAATTCATTAATTGGTTTATTAGGGTCTTTAGTTCGCAATATTCGTAAGTGTTCTATTATAGTAGAATGAAATCTCTCTCGATCGGTGAGTTTGATTCATGATGTCCAGGAGTTGTAAAGTGTATATTTATCTTTTGAGCTTTTAGTAATTCTTTAAGAAGCTCGTTATTAAACTCGGTTCCGTTATCAGTAGCAATTGATTCGGGGCATCCTACAAAAGAGAAAAATTGGACTAGTTTGTCGCAAACTGATTTAGCATTTTTATCATAGGGAAATGCTTGGGCATATTTAGAGAATTTGTCAATTATCGTTAAGAAATTCTGTTAATGTATCCATGTGTAAGATTTGGAAGGGCTTCGATGGTGATTCTGTCCTGCAAGTGGGATATACGTTTTTAATCGTGAGTATTTTTGAGTTTGACAGATAACACAATCGTTGATATATTTTGTAACCTTCTCTTTCATTTTTGGCCAGTAATAATTGGATTTTATTCGATCAAGTGTTTCTGTTATTCCTCGATGATTTGTCTTTGATTCGTGCTGATATTTGATCAATAACAATTGCTCTTCGATTTCTTTCACATTATTAACTAGTTTAGTGCATCTTATGATTTTAGGTTTTGTAAAATGGTTGGTATATATATTAGCAAATAATGTTAGTAGATTCTCGTCTAGGAAATTTACATAAACTGGTTTATCATCATGTGGTAAATAGTCTCTTATAAATGCAAATATCAATTTAGGATCTTGTCGTATTTCACAATGACTGATATTATGATTTTCGAAACGATCGACGGATACTTTGATCTGTAAATGTGGATTTTTTTTGATAATAAATTGAACTGATTTATTATTAATTAATTCCTCTAATATTGGAAGATCGGATTCATTTTCATCATTATTACTATGTACAGTGTTGTCTGATGTTTTTGGGTTTCTAATTATTTCAGAAATTACAATAATTTTCTTTTGTTTGTCTTGAGTTTCGTTTGGCTTTTCATTTGGAAGTACTTGGAATTGGATTTTCGGCCAAGTTTTTTAAATATTCTAGTATGTCTTGGTTTACGTCACCGGGATTATTGATTATCGATTCCTGTTCGTAGACATTTAATTGTATGCGAGATAAAGCATCTGCGACTTTATTTTGGGATCCACTTCGATAACGTATTTCATAGTCATATTCTTCTAGACGTAGTCGCCATCTAATTAGCTTAGAATCTTGGGTTTTTACATTGAATAACCAGACTAGTGGACGATGATCTGTGTATAGAGTGAATTTTCGTCCATAAATATAGGGTCGGAATGTCTTACAAGCATAAACAATTGCAAGTGCTTCTTTTTCGATAGTAGAGTATCGAGTTTGTGATTGGTTCAGAGTTCGACTTATAAATGCAACAGGTTTATCATTTGGAATAGTTCCTTGACTAAGAACAGCGCCAATTGCATAATTGCTGGCGTCAGTAGTGACGATAAAAGGTTGGGAAAAATCTGGGTAAGATAAAATTGGGGCATTAATTGAAAGGTTTCTCAAATGTTCAAAAGATTTTATGAATTCTGAAGTATACTGGACTTTTGCATCTTTCTTTAAGCAAGAGGTCAATGGCTTTGTTACTTTGGCAAAGTCTTGAATAAAACGTCTGTAATAACCAACTAAACCGAGAAAATATTTTATGTCTTTAACAGCGGCGATTTTATTTGGGTTTGGTTTAATCCCGTGTTTGGTTACAATATGTCCTAGATATTGAACTTCTGGTCTCAAAAATTCAGATTTGTCTAGTTGTACTTTGAATTTAGCTTCACGTAATCTGTCGAAAATTTTCCGTAAGTATGTGTTCTTGTAAGCTGCTATTATATCGTCCAAGTAAACAAAACAAATTTAATTCTGCAATCCACGCAAGATATTATTCATTGCTTTCTGGAATGTTGCTGTGTTCTTTAGACCGAAGGGCATTCTGGTAAACTCATAATGTCCTAAATCATTACTAAATGCTGTTTTATGAACGTCTTCTGCATCCATTTCAATTTGATGGTATCCATTTGCTAAGTCTAAAGTCGAAAAAATATTTGGCTTTTCCCAATTTATCTAGAATTTCGTTGATATTGGGTAATGGAAATTTAACATCAGCAGTTTTTCGTTCAACTTCCTATAATCGACACAATCTAAATTTTGGTTTTCCAGATGCATCAAGTTTCTTTGGTAGGTACTATTAATATAGGAGCTGAAAATGGTGAATTTGACTCTCTAATCATATTTTGTTCCAATAATTTATTGATTTGAGTCTTAACTTCTTGTCGGTGTATTTCGAGGTATCTGTACATTTTGGCAAAAATTGGTGTTTCGTCAGTTAATTTAATTTGATGTTTAATAACATTCGTAAAACTCAATGGTAGGTCTTCACAATAGAAGATGTCTCTATATTCTAGACATAGTTGACGAATGGCTTGTTTTTCTTCCAAATTACAGTGTTCCATTCTTAAATATTTCAAGTTAGCCTTTAATTTATTGTCTAATTCTTTTGGCATTTTATAATTATTATTTTCTGCACTGATAAAATTCAATTGATTTACTTCGAATGGTTCAACTGGTAAAGGTTCTGAAAAATTAATTGGGGTTTGAACTTGAATTCAATGCTGTCGTATAAGCGAAATAATTTTCAATTCTTATTAAAGACTCGGGGATCTCGAGGCTTCCTTCTTGTGCATAATTTAATATACCATATCCATTTTCAAGATTTACTGGTACCTTATTCTGCGATATCATACGCGGCGGTATGACAAAAGTCACGTTCGTTTCAATGTTTTCAAGACAAGAGGTTTTAATTACGTCATAAAATTCTTGAAAAAAAAATGGTCCACGGTCGGATACATTAACTAAGTGTATTACCGAGTTTGTTTATCGTTATTTATTTTCCAGTTATAATAACGTCGCGCCAGACTCGTAGACTAAACAATGGCATCATATGCTATAAGTCTACACAAATCTATTCAGTCTTTTCCGATCTCTCCAACAGTGGACATTATAATTATTATAAAATTATTGCACAACATTTTTTTTTTTTAACAAGTAAGTAAATCTTTTATATACTAATATCAATACCTACAGAATATTTTTTAGATATGGATTTGAAATCAATCAACGAGACCTGCCTCTTCAAGGATCAAAAAACACTTGTGAAATTACAAGACATGGAGCCTTACAGAAAGTACCCAATATTTTCTGCTAAAAAAACCCAAAGTAAATTCGGACCGAGCATCCTCATTGAACTTGACGATAAGGCAGTGTTTCTTCCAAAACTTACCAAGATCATATGGAGCAGTTTATGGATGGAAAATATTCAATAATATACAGAGGCCAGAAGGATGTAGGACGACCAAACCAAAT